CACATGCCAACTTTTAATCAGGATACTTTCACCAATTGATACCTGCACCGGGGCTAAATTTCCATATACATATATTGGCCAGTCTTAAGAGCCAAGATGGAAAACAGCTGACTGTGTTCATTGGACACACTTATTTCGGTATGTATAAATGCTTTCAATATACATAACTGTGCTACACTGACACGAGTATGCGCAGCAAGAGCAGTGTTTTGCCTCTCCTGGACATTAGGGTACACACATATGTATGTATTGCATCTACATTTATGTATATCTAAATATTAAATATATAAGCAGTTCCGACGGCACTGTGGCTGAGTGGGTAGAGGCGTCTATACCGGTCCATAGGACCTGGGTTCAATCCCTGGTCCGAGCAACATTTAAATTAAAAAAAAAAGTTTTTTTCTAAGAGCGGTCGCCTCGGCAGACAATGGCAAACCTTAATTAAATCCATTTGCAGTCGCAGGCGGCGCAACATTGTAGGTCCCTCCATCTGTTGATATATATAATATTAGGGCGCATACCACAAATTGGAGGAGAAGCTTGGCCGCACGCTTAACAAAATGTAAGCGCCAAAATATAATAAACAGTCAGTTTAATCCTACATTTGAAAACTACGTACAGAACATTAGTGAACTACATACATATTTTAAGCCTAACACATACTTATGTACATATGTATGTACATACGTACATATGCATGTAGTGATACTTAACCGATGGTTCCGTAGGAGTGACTTTCGGAGGGAGTATGTTAGGTTTAACGGATTAAAGTTACGCTCTCCGCCTTTCGATGCTTCCCCATACCTTAAAAAAATATATATTTACGGAGGAATGCAGTAAGTTACCCCTTGCCTACCGAATTGCCTTTAACCCAACGTACAAGGGGATTTATTTAGTAAGCTTATTTTGGTTATAAATTTGGCCAGCAACATTGGCCAAAAGCTGTATGGCATTTTCACTAATCACCATCGCATTGGTCGGCGGCATTCATGCATACATATGCACATACATACTTACATACCGACTTATGTACATTGTCTCCGCAAACCGAGTCACAGATCCTACATAATTAACAAGTTGTTGGCGTTTAAGGCTTGACTTTTGGCTATCGAAGCTGCATGCAAATCAGCAATCAAAATCATGTTACACAGCTGTGCCACATTGGACACACATGTGGATATACATATGTATGTACATATGTATGTATAGTTAAACATACGTACCAAAGCAGCATGAGCGGCAGTAACAACTATCACCTAGGTTTGTCACAACAAAGTCGCAAATCAATAAAATTGGTATTGATTTATATCTGCATATCGAACAAATGCTAAACATGAGAATGTTCATCAGTCAGTAGTAACAACAACAACAACAGCGTGCCCGGAACCGCGCTAAACATGCTAATAGGCAATAAGCAGCGGCCGAAGGTTGGATCCCAGAAGGTAATTTAGGTAGGCATTCTTAAGTGAAGCCATTCAAAAAAGGCATACCCAAGAAGGACCTAAAAAGTGCATCCGTGCAGTGCATGCCAAGCTAGAAGGGCTTTTCCCATTCACAATTTTCGCGAATGTGCAAGTTTTTTATTTAGCATACATACCCTGCAAAAAGTGGGACTAGGTTAAATACTAGTACAGGACCACGCTACCTTGTAACCAACACTAGTAACCAAAATGGTCTTAATACATATATGGAGAAAATATGGTTACATTAACATTGCGATGTCATTGGACCTGACCACCTCTGGTCCAACGCTGCATAACATGGGACCAGTTCTGGTCCACCACTGCATAACATGGGACCACCTAGACAACTACTCCTTTTGGACCATGGCACATTCGGCAACCGAATCATATTTCCGATCGGCCACGAAGAGGTGGTGTTCAACACATATATCAGTTTTTTACGTTTGAAGTGGTCCAGGTCAACATAACAAGTTACTACTATGCAACCTGGTCCTTTTGCACATACTTTAAAACCATGACCCAGTGGACCACCTGGTCCTCAAATTTTTGCAGGGTATGTATGAATTTCAATATATGTACATACATACTTACATTTCAATTTGCAATAAAACATATTTAATATAAACCTTAAGCAAATACTTTAGAGATATATGATATTTATGAATTAAAGAAGCAACTTCAAATGAACTCCTCCAAGGTCAGAAGGCCCTCAATTTGTGCCACTCCATACAAAAAAAAAGGAGGTGAAAGGAATGTACAAGGCCTCTTGACTTTCAGGAAGAGATTTGGATTCCTGAAACTCTCTACTATGGAAGGTGGGTAACTCAACTCAGAGTTGAGTTATTGAGTTGATTCCTACAAGTGAATCGGTAACTCAGACTCCCTGTCCAAAAAAAATGTAACTCAGTAACTCAGTTGATGCCGTAGGGCTCACATGAATCAATTGAATCATAGTGGCTCATATTTGTCCATATAACTCTCTCGCTTCGCCACAGTGTTTAGCATGGCAAAGTCTTGCATTTTGTTTTTGCACGAGGCGAATTTATACAAGGTGGTGGCAAGAATACAACAACAACAACCACATGTATTTTGTATTGCGGGTGTTATGTCAAATCTCACAAATTCTTATAATTTGGTTTTTTTTTTAGTTTTTCTCGAAATATGTATGTATGTAAGATATATAAAGATGTGCATATCAAATCAATTGCCTTTCCAACCATATCCACATTTTGAAATTCGGTACAATAGGTTTCGAAATATAAGCTTTTGAAAATATTGAAAATTCCACCTTTACCCTCCCCCTAGCACCGCCCTATTAATTTGCACACAAAAAAAATTACACCTTTCAAATCAGTAGAAAGGAGCTGACCACGCCCACTTTAAAGTTTTGTTTTATCTCAACGGCCGCTATACCGCATCTATGCCTCAAAACGAGTCTACGATACGAATGAGTGTAACATACAAAGAGTCAAGTGAGTTAGTTGAATGAGCTGACTCCTTAAAGTGAGTTGGAGTCATTGAGTCAACTCCTATAAATTTGCTGAGTTACCCACCCTTACTCTACTAGGATGTTTTGCATATCAAATATGTGATAACGGTGCCTGTGAAAAACTCTTTTACCAACAAAACATGTAGTAAAAAATTTCCCCTGAAAACCCCGCCTCGTGGTATTGTTATTATTAAAGTATAAAAATTGATAGAATTTACACAGAAAATTTGAATTTTCCAAAAGTGACTGGGGGATGGGTTCGTTTCCCAATTTTATACAAACTATAAATACATATTTCGTTCAAAGCGCTTTTCTCGTATGAAGCTAATAGAAAGCCAAGGTCCATTTTATGCTTTGAAGGCATTTTTATGTTTGACAATAAAAAATAAAAAAAAAACTATTAGATTGTGACCGGTGGGACGAGCCACGATTGAGGACTCATATATATATAGTTTGTGAGTAAAATAAAATCTACTAGTTTGATATAATTTTAATGAAACCAATTTTGCTCCAATAAGCAATTCCTTTAAAGCTGCTAATTTCCCAGCATGAATGTATTTTTGTAATAACTCAGCACTATTTTAAAATCCATAAGTTGGAATTTCCTTTTGGATAATTATTTTTTGCAATATCTTCTCAATGTGCGAGAAATGCCTTGACAACTCGATGAGAAAATACTATATTTGAGCTAATCGTACTACGGCTGCCTTAATAACAGTAAAAATCGAGAAAATAGCGAAAAATAAATCGATAAAAATCTTGTATAACGAATTTTTCGGCTTTACTGTTTTCACAGATTTAAACGCAATCTTATAATTTATTTGTTGACCGGTGGTGTCTTCTTCGTTGGAATGACTCAATTGTTTTTTCAAAAAATTTCGCCAATCGTCATCCCTAGTGCAGATATTTATGTATGTATGTAAATATATGGATCCTCCTTTTAGTGATTCTAAAAATACTCTCCTGGCTTTGGTTATTTTTTGTGGCAAAATACATCTCAAAAAGGGCAATTGCTTTCCAACTGTCAGCACTGCTTACAGTTGGTTATATTTAGCACCTCTCTTACATGGATACATACATCTATACACATGTACATATGTATGTATGAATGGACATATTTTCATGTGCAGGTATTGTCAGCATTTTGCCGAAAGATCACCGCAAAAAATGGGATTTCGCCGGGTTGATTACGAGAACATGCCACTTCCATATACATACGTACATGCATATATATATAAATATGTACATGTATGTGTGCGATCTCCACCTGCCGAAGGGCGACAATATTTTAGATATTTTTTAATAAACTCTGGCAATTAGCAAAACATTAGAAAATAGTCTTACCACATTGCACATTGCAGACCGTCTGAATCCGTGGTTTCACAGGCGAGAGCGGGAAGACAGTGGTATTTTACCTCAGCAATTTCAGGCCGATAAAAATGCGGTATGAAAAAATGCAGGGAAACCCCGAACTGGCTAACAAAAAAATTGTGGTCCAAATTAATTTAAAAAATAATCCTTTTTGGTTGTTGTTGTTTCCGACAGTTTTTGGAGAACGAAAAACGACACTGAAGATGGCACAACTCCGAAACCGGTTTGTCTCCAAACCAAATTTGACAAGGGATGACGGAAATTCGTTCCAAAAT